GAAGGAACTGTTTCAAGTGCTGAGGAGCAAGGATTTCTCCTTGGGGGCTAAGGTGTGCCTGACACAAGCCATGATATTTCCAATCGTCTCATATGCATGTGAGAGCTGGACAATGAATAAGGAAGACCAAAGAAGAGTTGATGCTTTGGGGTTGTGGTGCTGGCGAAGAATGCTGAAAGTACCATGGACTGCTAAAAGAACTAACAGATATGTCCTGGAGGAAGTACACCCGAAATGCTCCTTGGAATCAAGAATAGCTTGACTTCGTCTCACCTATTTTGGTCATGTTGTCGGAAGGGACCATTCCTTGGAGAAGGATGTAATGCTTGGTGGGGTAGGGGGTTGACAAAAGAGGGGGAGGCCTTCAATGTGATGGATTGACACAATGAGTGCATTGATGGGCTGAAGTATAGCGGGGATCATGGAGCTGGCGTAGGATCGGGCAGTGTTTTGTTCTGCTGTGCGTGGGGTCACTATGAGTTGGAAATGACTCAATGGCACCTAACAACAACAACATCTGTTTGTGTTAGTTTAGGTAAGTGGTGTGTTTCTAGAAATCTGTCCATTTCTTCCACATTTTCAAATTTGTTGGAATACAGTTTTTCATAGTATCCTGATATTACTCTTTTTATTTCAGTTGGTTCTGTTGTGATGTCTCCTATTTCATTTCTTATTCATGTTATTTGTATTTTCTCCCTCTTTTCCTTTGTTAGATTTGCCAGTGGTTTGTCAGTTTTATTAATCTTTTCATAAAACTAATGTCTAGGCTTTTTAATTTTTTCTGTTGTCTTTCTATTTTGTTTCATTGATTTCTGTTCTAATCTTTATTACTTCCTTTCTTCTGTTAGCTGTCGGCTTTTCTTTCTGTTCTTTTTCTGATTTTTGTAGATCTTTTTTTCAAAATGTTGATTTTGGCTTTTTTTTTTTCTTTTTTGATATGTACATTTATATGTATAAATTGGCCTCTGATCACTGCTTTTTCTGTGTCCCAAAGATTTTGATATGTTGTGTTTGCATTCTCGTTTGCCTCAAGTAAATTTTGCATTTCAATTTTTATTTCTTCTCTTACCCAGTCATTGTTAAGGTGTTTGTCTTCAATCTCGCTAATTCTGTCCTCCATTGATTTGATTCTACTCTTTTGCCCTTTCAGCATGTTATCTGTTCCTGAAAATTCAGTATAAATGTTCTGATTTCTAATTTCTATCTGTATATTTTGAATCTTTTCTAATTTTTCATTTATTTTGTCATTTTGTTCTTGTATTTTCTTCCAAAATTTTTGTAGGATTTTGTCTGTGTTATTCTTAATTTTGTCATTGTTTTTCTTGATCTCTCTCTCTGTCCTTTGAAGGTACCTAAATGTAACTCTTTTGAATTCCTTATCAGGGAGTTCCATTGCTGCTGCTTCTTCAGGGATGTGTTCTGGATCTGTATCCTGCTCCCTTGTTTCTACCACTTTATCTTGCTTCTTTTTGTTGACAGTGATGGTGTGTTTTCTCCAAGACATAGTGACATTGTTGTATTTGATCTGTGCTGTTTGTGAAGAGCAGCTAAGTGTGTGTCAGGGTCTTCTTGGTGGTTGCTTATCATTGGTCATTTGGTAGAGGTAGAGAAGGAAGTAGTGGCTCTCACTCAGTAGTGGAGCTATAGGAGGTGTTAGTGTGGTTGCATCATATGGGCGCTGGTGCTGTGTCTTACTCATTTAGACAAAAACAAAGATCGAAAAACCATCAAAAAAGTAAAAGCAAGTGGACAAAAACACACCACGTAAACACACAGGAACAATCACCACAAAAAAAAGAAATAAAACACCAATATCTGGGGAGGGGAAAATTAGAGAAAAGAAGTAGAGTAGCCGAATAATGAGGAAAAAAAATGAAAAAATGCAAAGTGTAAAACAAGGAATAGGGTTAACCACGAGAAAGAACAACATGGGAACCAGGAACAGGGACGACAGAAAAAGCTGAAAACTAGAACCTGGGAAGGGAAGACTAAAGAATAATAATAATAAGGACCAACAAAAAAGAATAATAATAATAGTAATAATTTTAAAACAAACAAACTAAAAAAAAAATGGGATAAAAATCTGGGCAGGGCAGGCCAGAGCACCCAGGCTCTGTCAGAGCACACAGACTAAGATGGAGTTCCTACATGCCTAGAAGGTGGGTAGGAGTGAGGGATGGCCACTCCTCCAGTCACCAAGAGGTTGTGTGGTATAAGAGTAACAAGGGAAATATTGTACCTTTTCAGTCATTAGTGTCTGGAATGTCCTTGTGGTTCCCAGCAACTGGCGCCTATTCTTAGATCCCTGGAATATGAGAAAACACTGTCGCTTTAAATATCCAAAATGGTCAAACTGCTCTTTTATTCACCAGCTACCAGTGCAGTCCTCCATGTAGCCCCTGGTTAGCAGGGTCAATTTTTTGGTTAATTCTTAGGTCACTTGGCAGTATTCAAGCTATCCATGCCATCAGGATCACTGACAGACCACAGCTCCATATGTCTCCTTTTTTGGTGTTTTCATGCAGATTCTTCTATTAGTTGAAGTTTTGTCCACTTTTGTATCTTCCCCTTCAGAGCTCAGGGCTCCTGGATTATCTCCTGCATCTGTGTTAATTGGTTCCCCTTTTCTTTGTTGAAGAGTGTCTGTGTAGTTTGTCTGCTTTTTCCTCCATCTTACTAGAATAATTTTGTCATTTTGTTCTTGTGTTGATTCCCTAAACTCTTCTCAAGTTTTATCTGTGTTTTCCTTTATTTGTGTGTAACTTCCTTGATGTCATCTTTGTTTTCTTTGAGCCCTTTCTTATTCTGTTGAAAGGACCTAAGTATAATTCTTTTATTTAGTTCCAATAGGATTTCTTCCTCTGCAAGATTTTCTGGCCCTGTATTTTGTTCACTTGCTTGAGCCTTCTTGTCCTAATTTTTTATTTGTGTGTATGATTTGAAGTTGTCTGTTGTCTCTGAGACATTGTAGTGGTATTGTATCAATTAGTTGATTGTGTATTAATTTTCTTCACCCTAAATTTTGTTTTAATACAGCAAGGAAAACTACTCTGGTTGATAGCTTGGCAGCACTGAGGTGCTCACCACCTGTCAATGTGTGAATTTGCCAATAGGTGGGAGTCTTTAATTGCTGGTCATGTAGTGCTGCTGAGGGCAGGCTGGGTAGGTGGTGGCCATGATTGTTCTCTTTCCAGTGTTGCTTGAGTGGGTGGTGGCACTCATCTAGTATGTGCAGCAGCAGGTGTGGTGGGTAGGGCTGAGTAGGGTCATTGGCTCCCAACTTTTGGGAAAGAAAGAGGGAGGGAAAGTCAAATTAATTGAAGAAAATAGAACAAGGGGATAGGAAAGACGGAAGAAGTAAGAAAGAAAAAGTGGCACATTGCTGGTGTAAGCACTAACTGCCAAAAACAATTGTCATGTGAATGCAGTGTTCATCCTGTGAGGGTGCACACCATGGATCATGGAGTGGTGGGGATGGGCACTGCCGATTACACAAGTAATGAGGACCTGACACTTTTCCTGTGGGATCAGGAGAAAAAGGAGGGAGTAAGAGGATCAAAGAAAGGAAAAAGAAATAACAAAAGGGGAGGAAGAGGTAAAACACAAAAAGGAAAGAAAAAGTGACATATCACTGGAAATGGGGAGTTTTCAATAACCACCAGTTGGTGGGTGAGGGGCTGTTTCCCTGGTCACCAGGAGGTTTTGCAGGGTAAAGGGGAGCTCACACCTGTCTAGGTGCTTCTCACCAATATGAGTGTCAGTGCAGTCCTGGGTGAACAGAGCTAGTTATCTGGTTCCTGCCATGATCAGAACATTGCTTGCAGTAAAATGGCCATGCTGTCAGGGCAGTGGGAAGTTCACTATTTGTGTTCAGTCTTTTCCTTTAATTGGTATATGATCTGCTTTGTCATCCATATTGTTTCACTTGATTTCTTGAATCTTTGTTGTAGAGGGTCTTAGGTAGTATATCTTCCTAATTCACCATACTGGATTGGCCCAATTGGTATCTAATAGTATATCTAATTGGGAAGAGAAACTAATGAAATAATAATAAGTCTCAGATGTATTTGAGAGCTAAATATACATGATATTTTTTGGAAATCCACTTTACAAATGCAAGCAAGCAAAAGAAAGTAAGAATCTAGGTATTGGAGATCAAGAGGAGAGGGTATGTCCACTCTAGGTGCTCATGGAGCATGCAGAGTCTCTTTCTCTGGTTTCTAAGACTGGTTACCTTCCCTAAATGTGTTGTTGTTATTGTTGTTATGTGCCATCAAGTCAGCCCTGACTCATAGCAACCCCTCCTTGGGTTTCTGAGGCAGTATCACTATGGAAGTAGATTTCCCAACCTTTCTTTCAAGGAGTGGCTGGTGGGTTTGAACTGCCAGCCTTGTGGTTAGCAGTCAAGTGCCTTAGGCACTATGCTACCAGAGCTCCTCCTGAATGTGTGGTAATAGATGATTCCAGGATCCTCAAAGCCACAGAAGGTTTACCCTGGCACCTAGCTGAAGCAGTTTCTACATTCATAGCAGAGTACTAGCTGGCCAGGTCTAGGAGCTACACTGTCCTTTATGTACAGATATTCTAGGTAGCTAGATATATTTGGATGTGCCTTTGGAGCTGGGCAATATCCAGATTCATGCTCTGTTTTTTCTTTTCTTCCAGATGACTTTTGAGATGAGTCATGAAACACTGTACTTGGCAGTGAAGCTGGTGGATCATTACTTAATGGAGGCAGTATGCAAGAGGGACAAGCTACAACTCCTTGGTTCCACTGCCTTTCTGATTGCAGCAAAATTTGAGGTGAGTCTGAGTCCACAGGACTTAGAAATAATCAGATTTCTATCCACATCTGTTAATATATGTATATATATACACATGTGTGTGTATACTTTTATGTATATATATATGTGTGTGTGTGTGTGTGTGCATATAAGTGTAGGTATATATAATCAATCTCTTTCTCTCTCTCACTCTGTCACACACACATGCACTCAGTTTTTCCTATCAAATCTTTTGTCTGTCTTCCCCAGACAGGAAGCCAATGTTGAGTGATTGTGGTATTGTGTGTTGATTTCCTGACATCAGCAAAGTTCTTCCACTTCATCTTTGAAGATGTACCTATTTAAATTGTTGTTGTTATGTGCCGTCGAATCAGCCCTGACTCATAGCGACCCATCCTTGGGTTAATTTCTGGTCCATGCTTCTTAGAACCTCCCTATACTTTGCTTCTTGCCCTAGCTCTGTCACTAGCTAATGGAATCTTGATCTGAATATACAAGTATTTTCAGACCTGGGTGGTGGAGACTTTTAAGAGAAAGTGAAATAGTAATTTTTGAAGCAGCAATAAAAAGTGATTAACTGTCCTTTTCTTCATAACCATAATCTATCCAATTAAACTTTCTGATTCTTTTCTATTTCTTAGTGAGTTTTTTTTTTTAAACTGTGTTTAACTCTGATTTTTTTTCCCTGAAGATCACCAAGTTGTATGTACCTTAAGGTTTGGGAGCAGAGAGGTAGCAACTTTTACTAATGAGGTCAGAACCTTAGAACTGTAGGGCTTTGTTTGCGTTTGTGTGGTTCCCTCTCTCTCCTATTCCCTCCCTCTTCCTTTCATTCTTCCTCTCTTTCCTTCCCCTTTCTCTATCTCTGTACCTCTCCCTCCTTCTGACCCCATCTTTCTGTACTATGCTTCTGCTGTAGCTTCAGCTCTGCTCCCTCTAGCATGCTCCCTGTCTCTTCCCTTCTCAGTGTGTTTTGGTCCATCTCTCACCCCCTCTCTCTACTTCTTTCACTCTCTCACTCCTTCTTACCCCTTTCTTTCTCTCCCTCTCTCCTTTCTACTCTTACACCCCATCTCTCTCCTCCTCTCTCTTGCCCTCTCAGGCTTCTCCATTTTTGCCACACTTTACCTTTTATCTTCCCCACTCTATATCCCATTCCTTCTTCCTCACTTTCTCCATGGATTTTGCTCCCCTTCCTTTTTCTCCACCTCCTTTTCCTTTATTTCTACCTTTATCTTTCCATTTCCTTCCCTCTCTCCTTCCCTTCATCTCTCCCTCTGTCATCTAACTCTCTCCCCAGTTATCTCTCTCCTCTCTCCCTTTCTCCCTCTCCCTCTCCAATTTCTCCTCTTTTTCTCTGTACCCCCTCTCTACTCTCCCGTCTATGTATCTCTTTCTCTGATCTCTCTTCCTCTGTCTCCATCTCTCATTTTTCTCTCTCCCTTCTCCACACTCACCTACCCCATTCTCTGCCTTCTGTCCCCTCCCTCTCTCACAGGGATCTCTCTGCCTCTATTCCTTTTTTTGTCTCCCCCTCTCTTTTACTCTCTCATCTGTAACTCTCCCTCTATCTTTCCCTTCTACTCTCTCCCTCTCAATCTCTCTCCATCTATTTTTTATCTCTCACTCTCTTCTCTCTCTACTCCCCTCTCCCTCTTTCTCTTACCCTTTCATCTTCTCCACCTCTCTTCCTCTTGTACCTAACTTCCACTCTCCTCCTCACTCCTGCTTCCACTGTCTCTCTCCCTTTTTCTCCCTATCTCTTCTCTCTTGTCCACTTTGCCTCTTTTTCTCTCTGTCTCCCCAGTTTGTCCCCATCTGTGAACCTCTTGTAATCCCTTTTTTCTCTTTCTCTCTCCTATAGGCCCCTTTATCTTCCCTCTCTTCTCTATCCCTCCCTCCCTTCCTTTCTCTCTCCTTCCTCTCTCTCACTCACCATTTCTCACACTTTATCCCCTCCCCCTCCCTCTCCCCTTACTCTCACTCCTCCTCTTTGTCACCCTCTCTGTTCTCATTTCAATCTGTCTTTTTCTCCTTCTCTCTTTCCCATTTCTACTCTCTATCTTTCCCTGCCCCTCCATCCCTTTCTCTTGCCCTCCTTTCCTCCCTCCCTCCTTCCATTTCTTTCTGTATCTTCTGTATCTCTCCTCTCTCTCCCCCTCATCATCTCTTCCTCCTCTCTATTTCCATTGCCATTTTCCACCCTCTTTCTCTCTCTTTTCCTCAGATGTCTTGCCCTCTGTCTCTGCATTCCTGTACCCCTCTTGGTACCCTTTCTCTTGTCCCCTCTCTTCTCTTTCTCCATCTCTCTCCTCTTCTTCTCCTGCTCACCTTTGCTCAGTTCCTGTCTTCCTTCTACTTCCTTCCCTTCCCCTTCTCTCCTCCTGTCTTTCCCTCCCTTCCCCCCCTCTGTCCCCATCTTTCCCAGCTCTCCTCCCTTTTCTTCCTTGCTTTAGATACCCCTTCTTTGCTCTCCCTCGTTTACCTCTACCCTCCATATTTCTTCCTCTCTCTTCCTGTCATTTCCTATATCTTTACCTTTCTTTCCCTCCTACTCTTCCTTCCTCTCTCCATCTCTCTCTCTCTCTCTCTCTCTCTCCCCCATCTCACTGCTTCTCCATGCCCTCCCCCCCATCCTCTGTCCTCTGTCCTCCTCCTCTTCCTTCTCCATTTCTCCTACTGTATCCCTCTCTATTCTACTTTCCCTCCCTCCTATAACACTCCTACTCATCTTTTCTACTCCCTTCACTTCCTCTTTCTCCACTCCTAACACCTCTCTTCCCCCTCTTCCCTTTTCCCCTCTTGGTTTCCCTCTCATTTCCTTTCTCCTATTATGTCTTCGTCTTTGTCTTCCCCTTTTTGTCCCCATTTATGTCTATTTTCAATCTCTCTTTTTCTCCCTCTCTGCTACTTTCCCTTCTTCCATCCTTTCCTTCCTGCATCCAGCCCTTCTCCTTTCCTTCTCTCCCCTTCTCTTTCTATCTCTCTCTCTTATCTTGCTCTCCCCTTTTCTATCATCATCCCTGTATCTCCATATGTCCCTCCCTCTAGCTCTCTCCAACTCCCACCTCTCCTCCTGCTATACCCTGCTTCTATCAACCTTCTTTTTTCCAACTCCCTACCCTCTCTCTCTTTCTCCCTTCTTTTCCCCTTCTCACTGTCTCTACTCCCCTTTGCTCTCTCTTTCACTGCCTTTGTCCCATGCACTCCCTCTCACTCTGATTTCTATATTGCTCTCTCTCTCTCTTTCTCTCTCTAGTTGTCCCCCTGTCTGTACATCTCTTTCTCTTTCTCCCTCTCCACCTTTACCTAGCTCTGCCTTCTCTCCCTGTCTCTCTCACTTTCCTATTCCTTCCTCCCCTCTCTTTTGTTTTCTTTCCCCCCTCCCCTACCTTCATCTCTTTCTCTCCCCCTTTCTCCAACCTTATCTCTCCCATCCCCCCTAATTTCCTCTCTCCATCTCTCTCCTTCTCATATCCCTCCCTGGCTCCCAGCTCTTTCCCACTCTCAAACACTGATCTTTCCCTGCCTCTTCCTCTAATACCTCTCCCTGTATCTTTTTTCTTTTCTGTTCCCCCTCTCCCTCTAACTCTCCCTCTGTCTCTTCCCTCCCTCCCTCTTCATCTCTCTCTCCATATTTCTCTTCTCTGTCCCCTTCTCACTTTTCCCTTCTCCCTCCCTCTTCTCCCTCTCCTCTTCCCCTCTCCCTTTTACATCAACCTACTCAATGCTCCTCCCTCTTTCTCACTTTTTTTCTGTGATCTCCCTCTTTCTGTCTCTGCCTCTCTGTTCATCTGTCTCTCTTCTCCTTCCTCTCCCTGGCCATCTCTTTCCCCACTCTCCCATTCCATCTCTCTATATAGCTATATATCTACTTATATGGAAATATCTTCCTCCTCTGTCTCCTTCTCTTCCACTCTTTCTATTCTATTCCTGCCTCCCCTTTCTCCCCTGTCTGTCACTACCCCTTCCTGTCTCCTTCCTCTCTCTCCACCCTCTCTTTCTACCTCCTTTGCTTTCTTTCCCTATATCCTTTTATTTCCCTCCTACCTTCCCTTCCTATCTCTTTCTCACTATCTCTTTATTTCCATCTCCCACCCTCTTTTCCCCCTTCACCTCTTCCACTCTTCCACTCTCTCCTATAGCTCCTATAGATCCCATTCCCTTCCCTCCTCTTTTCTGTCTCCTGGCCTCCTGCCCCTCCCTCCCTCTCCTTCCCGTTCATCTCCTCCTCCTTTCTTCATTTCTCCCCTTCCCTCCTCACTCCCCTCTATCTTTCTCATGTATCCCTCTTTTTCTCCTTTTGTCTCCCCCATTCTCTTCCCCCATTGGTCCCTCTATCTTTCCTTTCTTCTTTCTCCTTTCTTCCCTCCCTAGCTTTCTCTTCCTCTCTCCCTCTCCCCTTCTCTTTTTTTCTATCTCCGTCTCTTCCTCTCTTTTCTCCATCTCACCCTCTGTCCCTTACTATCCCACTTTTCCCCACTTCTACTTCTCTGTCTCTCCTTCTTTATTACTCTCTCTCTTCCCCTTTTGATCTCGCTCTTTCACCCTCTTCCTACTTTAGTACCCTCTCACTTTTTCTCCTCCCTCCCTCCCTTTCTTTCTTTCTTTCAGTTTCTTTCTATATCTTTCTCCTCTCCTCCCTCTCCATTTCTCTCCTATTTCTTTATCTCCATCTACCCCTTTCTCTCCCTCTCTTCCCTCTGTGTCTCCATTTCTGTACCTCTCTTGGTCACCCACTCTGTCCTCCTTTTTCTCCCTCTCTTCTCTCTCTCCCATTTTCTCTCCCCTTATCTTACCTTTTCTCTTCTACCTCTCCTCTCACCAACTCTCTGCATCTCTCCCATCTCTCTCCTTCCTTTCTTTAGTTCCTTCTCTTTCTCTCCCTGCTCTAGTCCCCTCTCTATCTCCACCTCCCTCCTCTCTTACCCCCATTCCCCTGCTCTATCCTTCTCCTCCCCCTTTGTCTCTACTTTTCTTCCCCCTTCCTTCCTTTTGTTCTCTCTCATCCCTTTCTCTATTCCCATGTCTCTCTATCTGCATCTACCTACCTCTCCTCCATTGTCCCTTTCTCCTATATTCTCTCCTCTTCATCTACCCACTTAACCCCTCTCTCACTCTAAGCTCCTCACCCTGCTCCCTTTTTCTCTTCCCTCTTCTGTCCCCCTCTCTTTGCTCTCTCTTTTCTTACTTCCCTCACTCTTTCTCCTCTCTCCCATTGCCTTTGCTCTCTTTCCCTTTTTACCCCTTCTCTTCTTCTCCTTGTATCCCATTTATCCTTCCCTCTCCCCCTTGCTCTCTCTCCCCTTCTCTCTTTCCCACTCTTTCCCTCCTCTCTTCCCTCCATCACTGCTCCAACTCTATTCCGACCTATATCTTTATCCTTCTCTCCCTCCTTTTCTCTCTCTCCTTCTCCTACTCATTTATCTCTCCCTGTATCTTTCCTTTCTCCTCTTTCCTACCCTTTCTCTCTCACCCCCTCTCTATCTCTGTGTCTCTCCCATCTTGCTCTCTCTCTTTCCCCCTCTCTCCTCCTCCCTCTATCCCTTTGCCTCCATCTCTCTCACCTTCTTCCTCTCTCTTGCTCCCTCTTTCTTTCCTTCTCCCACTCCTCTATTTCCATCCCACTCCTGTCCTCTGTCTCTCCCCACTCTATGTTCTCCCTCATTCTCCCTCTCAGTGGCCTTACCTCTCCCTTTTCTTCCCTCCCTCCCTCCCTCCCCCTTGCTCTTCATCTCCCTGCTTCCTTCTCCCCTCCCTGTTTATATCTCCATCTCTCCCACTTCCCCCATCCTTCAGCCTTCCTACTCTTATTCTTTCTCCCTATTTTCTCCCTCCTGTCTTCCTTTTCATCTGCTCCTTATCTCATTCTTTATCTCCCCATCTCTAAGTTTCTCCCAACCCCCTTTCTTACCTTTCTTTTTTCCCGGCTCCACCCCTCTTTTTATCCCTTTTTCTCTCTCTCTTCTTGGTCTACCCTCTTATTTTTCTATCCATATTTTTTCCTTTTCTCTTTTCATCCCTCCCTCTCCATTTTTCCTGCTCTTCTTCTCTCTCACTCTATCCTACCCCTCCCTTTCTCTTCATCTCTTTCTCCCCCCAGATCTCTCCCTTTCTTCATCCCTATTTCTCTCTCCTTTTATCCTCCAATTATACACTGTACAATTGGAGGATAAATGGTATTTATAATACCATTAATGTAATATGGTATTTGTTCTTCTGTGATTAACATTTCACTCAGCATTTCTCTCTATCCCCTTTCCCTCTCTTTCTCTTCCTCCTCTTCCCCCTCCCCTCCTCCTCTTTGTATCCCACTCCTTTCTCCCTCTCCGTTCCTTGTTCTAAATTACCATTTCTCTCTCTCCTCTTTCTCACCTTCTTCCTCTGTTTCTTTTTTACCCTCTCTTCACTTATCTCTCATTATATATTTCCCTTCCCCAACTCCTGCCTTTCTTTCCTCTCCATCTCTCTCCCATATTATTTTCTCTCCCTCACTTTCCTTCCTACTTTTGCTTCCATCTTCCCATCCCTTTCTCTCCCTCTCTCTCCTTCTGTCTTCCTCTCTTCCCTCTATGTATATAGCCCTCTGCTTTTCTCTCATTGTTTCATTCTCTTTGTCTTCTTTCTCTTCTCTTTCTACATTTCTACCTGTAGTTATGGCTCTGCTTCTCCCATTTTCCCTCTCTCCTTGCCTTTCATACCCTTTCTCTCTCCCTCAGCCATTCTTGCTGACCCTCTTATGCCTCCTGCCATGATGCTTGCTTTCTCTCTCTCGCTCGCTCTCTCTCTCTCTCTTTTTTTTTTTGCTGAGCCTCTCAAATCATCCAATACCTGGCTCTCAGTGTTACCCTAAGTATTTATTCTAGCATGTGTGTTTGCCCCCATACCTTATCCCTCTTCTGCCATTCATCTCTAAACTGAGAGCAGTGTGCTGTCTTTGTTCTTCCATAGGAGACCTGCCCACCTTGTGTGGATGACTTCTTATACATCTGTGATGATGTTTATCAGCGAGATGAGGTGCTTGCCATGGAAATCAGCATCCTGAAAATCCTCAAATTTGACATCAACATCCCCACCGCTTATCATTTTCTGCGCAGATATGCTAGGGTAAGATGGAAGAGGCTTATCTTCATTCTCTCACTGCTTGCTTAGTCCCTTGTATGCCTAGATTGACAGTTTGAGTGGTAGGAAATGAGAAAAAGGACAACTTGGGTATAGGGAAATTTTCCCCTTTAATTAAAGTTTGGCAGTCTAAGAAGCAGAGGGGTAAAATTACTGATTTGCAGAGTGTACCTATAAGGTGTTTTCAAAAATAATACTGTATTTTCAGTGAATTTTTACACAGGAAATTAGGTTCCCATTTAACAACTTCTATACAAATTGTTCAGTGATGTTAGTTCCATTTTTCACAATGTGTCAACTCCCTTTAATTGTGTTCTGGTTGTTCCATGCCTATAAGGTTTTGAGGTGAGTGCAGGGTAAGGATGGTGAAAAGATTCTTTAACTAGTAAGGGAACATATGGACAATTTTGCAGGAATGCTTTCTTCACCTGGGTATTGGTTACAGAGAAAGTTACTTTATAATTATTTATTGTATTCTACATGTGTGTCTGTGATAGTTGAAGATCTGTCAACTTGGCTGGACTTCACTTGTGAGTGTTGTTTCTCATGATGGATCACATGACTACGTCCTAAGCGGCCGGTCAGTCTAGGGGGAGTTTCCCCAGGGGTGTGGCCTACCTGTAACACTATCCCAGGAACAAACTGAAAAAAACAGCATTCCAGAT